GACAGTACAGTATTGTCAATCTCTAGGATTGTTAAGATGAATTTTCTTTAAATGGCTCCAGGATAGTTGGGCTTTTCTAGTTGGTATTTCTTTTCCTTTCTCACTGCCATTTAACTCTTTGTCCGGTTACTTGGTTCTTTACCACCAGAAAGAAAATCTGATCCCTTATATTAAAGAATAATTGAAGACTGAAAGCAGAAACCAGATACACTGTAATGTTTCATTTTACAAACTAGTGGTTTAACAGGCTCTGGGGAAAGAGTGCTTTAAACTGGAATACTTGACTTTCTGACAGGGGTGTTCTGCTTTGGATCCTGTCCACTGGCAGGCTCATGTCCAGGTCAGCACCTGTTGCTTATCTGGCATAGGTGCTTTTTATTTAAAAGGGTTTCTGAGGAACTCAGCTGCCAGGCCCCAAAGACTAGATCTCTAATAGTGGAATCTTGGCTTCAAGGGCATGCACGGAATGTCAGGAGAAGGTATTTTGGAATAAATAAGGAAATGAGCCAGAACCAACAATGAGTTCATTACTTAAAAACAGGTTCATTTGAGATACCTTTTGATAGTTTCAAAATCTTAGTTATACCAAATTGTCTTTTAGGAGGAAATTGTATTTTATTTTTTTTTTTTTTAAGATTTTATTTATTTATTTGACAGAGAGAGAGACACAGCGAGAGAGGGAACGCAAGCAGAGGGAGTGGGAGAGGGAGAAGCAGGCTTCCCGCGGAGCAGGGAGCCCGATGCAGGGCTCGATCCCAGGACCCTGGGATCATGACCTGAGCCTAAGGCAGACGCTTAATGACTAAGCCACCTGGGCACCACTTTATTTCGTTTTCTAAAAGATGTATTTTTTAAAAAGATTTTATTTATTTTGAGAGAGCGTGAACATGAGCGATGGGGAAGCGCAAAGGGAGAGGGAGAAGCAGACTCCCCACTGAGCAGGGTGTCCAGTGCGGGACTTGATCCCAGGACCCCAGGATCATGACCCGAGCTGAAGGCAGACACTTAAACGACTCAGCCACCCAGGTGCCCTTATTTATGTATTTTAGAGAGAACACGTATGCTGGCAGGGGAGGGGCAGAGGGAGAGAGAATCTCAGGTAGACTCCCTGCTGAGTGAGGAGCCCAACGGACATGAGTCTCGATCCCAGGACCCTGAGATCATGACCTGAGCTGCAATTAAGAGTTGGCCACTTAACTGACTGAGCAGCCCAGGCACCTCCAGGAGGAAATTTTAGAAAGCTTTCTATCTGGTTTTTGTTTCCTACTTTTATAACCATTCTCATGGTCTCATGGCCATCACTTTCTACATGCTGAAATTCTTGGCTTTTGATCACTGCAGAAACGTGAAGAGGGCTGGTGGGTGGTGATCGGCGATGCCAAGTCCAATAGCCTCATCTCCATCAAGAGGCTGACCCTGCAGCAGAAGGCCAAGGTGAGTGAACACTGGCCCCAGGACTTGTTCTGAGATGGGGTCAGGGTGAGAATTCTTCCTCTTATGTCCGTGCTCACCCTGACTTCTGCCTGCTTTCTCTAGGTGAAGCTTGACTTTGTGGCCCCAGCCACTGGTGCCCACAATTACACGCTGTATTTCATGAGTGATGCTTACATGGGATGTGACCAGGAATACAAATTCAGTGTGGACGTGAAGGAAGCGGAGACAGACAGTGACTCAGACTGAGTCCAGAGGCACTTACTCTTACAAACAGGAGAGAAGAATTGCACCTGAATCAGGAACATGTACAGTTACATGGGGACCAGGTCTGTTGGTGTGAGATCTGGCCAGTCAGTGCAGGTGCTGTCCTAGCCCCCTTCTACTACTGGGCCCTCTTACTGCCTTGCTGTCTAGACTTTGGATCCAGTGTCTGCAGCTGTCCTGTAAGCTGTCAAGCATAAACTATGTACAGCATTTTTAGGCATGTTCTGTGTAGTTCCTTTTGTCAAACAGTCTCATAAAATAACTTGGAAAAACCATTTGTCTTTGTAGTGTTTCCAAATTAAAGTTTCTTTTCTCTACCTAAGGCCCTTGGCCAAAAACATTTGGTTTTTTAGCCACTAAACTTGCTTATAATGAATACTTGCTTATAATGAATACTTCTAGAGAACAAGGCTGCTCTTTAGTTGGGCTGTCACCTGCAGCCTTTCCAGTCAGTGTAGAGAAGGGAACAAGGTTAGATAGCTGTCAGATAGGAGCGCCTGGGTGGCTCAGTTGTTAAGCGTTTGCCTTCGGCTCAGGTCATGATCCCAGGTCCTGGGATTGAGCCCCACATCGGGCTCCCTGCTCTGCGGGGAGTCTGCTTCTCCCTCTCCCACTCCCCCTCTTTGTGTTCCCTCTCTCGCGGTGTCTCTGTCAAATGAATAAATAAAATCTTTAAAAAACAAAAAAAGATAGCTGTCAGATTTATGCCCTTGTCTCCACCTCTCTTGTTACCCAGATATCAGCACTGTTAACTAACACTGAGCTCGAGTCTCTCAGGATCTGCAGTGTCCCCTCCCATAAGGAGGCAGTACCAGAAAGGGGATTAAAATGCATGAACTGGGTGTGGCCCAGTCTTGGTAAACCAGTTCTTTGCTCAGTGGCAGTATCGTAGCCCATGAGGTTTATCCGAGGAGCGATTATTGCTGATTGAAAACTTTCCCCAATTCTGTGATCTAGATTTACAAAATTTCCTCTTCAAATTCTTGCCTTCTGTTATTTAGGAATAAATGTGCATAAAATTGGGAGATGATTTTCAAGCGTTTCTCTAGGTCAGCAGTTTTCAAGTAATAGGATCTTAGGACCCCTTTTACACAACAAAAAATTAAGAACCCCAAAGATATTTTATCATCTTGATTATATCTATTGATGTTTACTATACTAAGGATTAAAACAAAACAATGCATTTAAAAATTTTTTAAAAGATTTTATTTAGGGACGCCTGGGTGGCTCAGTCGGTTAAGCATCTGCCTTCGGCTCGGCTCATGATCCCAGTGTCCTGGGATCGAGTCCCGTGTCGGGCTCCCTGCTTGGCGGGGAGCCTGCTTCTCCCTCTGCCTCTCTGTCTCTCATGAATAAATAAATAAAATCTTTAAAAAAAAATAAAAAATAAAAGATTTTATTTAGTTGAGAAGAGCACAAGCAGGGGGAGCAGCAGAGGGAGAAGAGGGAGAAGCAGGCTTCCCCACGGGCAGGGAGCCCAACTCGGGGCTCGATCCCAGGACCCTGGGACCATGACCTGAGCCAAAGGCAGATGCCCAACCAACTGAGCTACCCAGGTGCGCCCAGAAAAGGGTTTTTAAAGCCTTTTCGGGTGATTAGCTATTTGATATTACACTGAGACTCCACAAGTGATAGTCTTTTTAAAGGCAATGCAGAATCTGAAACCCCATCAAATAAGCTTCAGTTAAAACCACTGGTCTGGTGCCTGGGTGGTGCAGTCACTTAGGCATCTGACTTGGTTTCAGCTCAGGTCATGATCAGGGTCATGAGATAGAGCTCCACATTGGGCTCTGCTTGAGATTCTCTCCCTCTGGTCCTCCCACTCATGCTCGCTCTCTCAGATCTTAAAAAACCCACTGGTCTTACACTTTTTACAACTTTAGTTGAAAAAGCACAAGCAGGGGGAGGGACAGGAGAGGGAGAAGCAGGCTCCCCGCTGAACGAGAAACACGATGTGGGGCTCCGTCCCAGGACCCTGGGATCATGACCTGAGCAGAAGGCAGATGTTTAACCTACTGAGTCACCCAGGTACCCTCCCCCCCCCTTTTAAAGATTTTTATTTGGTCTTACCCTTTTAATAAATTTCTTAACCGTGAATGAAAGATTTTATAATATCACGCATTAGTCATTTGGAAAATGTTGGTTCACTGATTTAGGCCCATCTTCCAAATCTGTTGATACCACCAATCTCATCAGAAAAGTCTAAGCAAAGGGAAGATGTCAAGCTCATGGTGGCAATAAAAGTTTTTGAAAATTTTAATTTTTGCTTGAGAGCTTTATTTTTTCATTGGCAACATTACGAGTTTCCCTTGAAGTGAAAGGCTCACTCCATCCATTTCCCAGAAAACGTCTGCCAGATAAGCCAAGTCTAAGTAACATAATTTGCTAGTTTTTTCAAGATGGGGCCATGAGGACAGTTCAGCTTGCACGACTGCTTTTCGTCAAGACAGTCTTAGTTGAGTGTGTGGTGGAAGGGCTTTATCCTGCTTCCCACTGTCCGCATGTTAGCTGTGTTCTCAGAGGTCAAGATTTAACAGTTTTTAATTGGTTCTATCCAGGACATTTCTAAGTGAGGTGAGGGCAAGGCAGTGAAGACTGACCAGTAGTATGGGGTGCCACTGCTTTGACTCCTGCCACAGCTGACCACGCAGGTCCCCTAAGAGGCTCTTGGGACCACACTCTGAGAGCCACTGTGCTAGGCACCGCCTCAGCTGTCTTTTCAAAATCTAAGGTGGTGATTTGTGTGGTGTAAAAAATCAGGTGAAGGCTGTAGCTTTGGGGATGGTCCTCAAGTCAAAACCCATTTGGAAGTGACTTCCAGAAGACAATTTGAATGAGATCAAAGTGATAGCTTAAGGAGTGATTCTCTACCTTTTTTCATTATCATGCCCCTAGTGAGCCTTATTAGATGTTTTTTTTCTATTTGCCCATACTATGAAAATTTAATACTGGCGGTTCATTAGAGAGCCACAAATTATGGTCTCTTAAGATTTTTTTGCCCCCTACCCAAGAACTGATTTTCAGCCCCACTGAGAATGTATGCCCTGTAGCCAGTAATAACTCCCTCTTAGGCTTCACACCCTTCCCCATTTATTTTTCAGCATTTCCAGTTGCCACCACAGCATGATGGCACAGAAGATACACAAGTTTCTAAGTTTCACAGTGTTTCACTGTGCAGAAGCATGTCTTACTTTAAGCCAGTCTACATTAAAAAATTTCCTTCAATACTGATTGAATGTCTTAAATGTAAGAATTTACCCAGAGATCAGGAAGGCAGGACCTACTTCTGAAAAGGACTCACCATGGAATTCTTTTAAGTTGTGAATGTCCTTATGAAATAGGACTTGGGACTCAGATGACCTATTTCTAGAAAGCTTCCTATTTCTGAAAAGCCTAAGATGTACCCCTTCTACACAGAGATATGGTGACTATAAATACTATATGCACCCCTCAAAATTGAACACTGTGCCCGCAAGCAAGCAAAATCTGTGTCATAACCACAACGCACTGATGTTCTGTAGCTCTTTACCAAGGGCCCCATGTCAAAGGAGGGGAAGAGTGAGTGGTTCTGTGGCTCTGCACTTCTACCCAAGTCTGAATGGAAGAGAGCCAAGTTAGACGAAGGTCAAGGATGCTCCTTCCAGGTCCCCTTGGGGCTGGGAAAGTCTTAGGACGTTTTCTGGGAAACCATGATTCTGTCCAAAGTCAAGGTGGCTCACATGCCTTCTGGTCGCTGATACTTCCAGAAGGCCACCTCCCCGTCATCACTGCAGGAGGCCAGAAGCCCCTGCTCCTTAGGGTTCCAGGCCACACAGTTGACATCCTGGGAATGGGCCTGAGGCAAGTGGGCTGTCAGGGAGAAGGTGGGCTGCTGTGGATCTGAGCTGGGATCCTCCTCAAACACACGGATGGCATCATCCCCACAAGCTGTAGCCAGGGCCCCTGTCAGCTGACACCTGGGAGGAACATGTGCATCAGTGAGTATGCAGGTGGCTCCTCCCTCCCCAACCTGGCAAATTAGGCAAAAGAGATCGGTTCTACAGCCCTTGGGCAGCTCTTCCCAAACTGCAGGCCTCAGCTCAAAGTCTATCATTGACAAGCTTCCCTAACACACAGCCACAAACATCACCCCCTAATTCTTCAAGGGCTGCCATCTAGGTCAGCTTTCCCCAGGCAACCCAAAAACCTCCAAGATTCTGAACTGCACTTTTCTCACTTAGCATAAGCAGCTTCCCTTATTGCAAGTCATTCTCAACTATTTCTTTAAACAGTAATAGGCCGCTGAATTTTACCATACTTCCCCTAAGGTCACTTTTGTCATTCCCAAACGTTTGCTAATATAAGTAAAGCTTAGATGCACATCAACTATTTTCGTCGTTTAGGATTATTTCCTACGGACAGGTTCCTAGGATTGCCCTCTGACCACTCTCCTATATGAATGGTATGGCTTTTCTAGACTCCGTAAGGGTAGAGTCAATATTACCAAACCATAAAAACTGCACCCATGAATCCAATTTCAATATTTCTGGATATATGAGGCTGTGTGACCACCCCCCTCCCTCCCCAACACAAGGCTGGTGCTGCCCTCACAGCCTGTGATCTTAAAGTAGGTACAGGCCTGGGTCTGTAAGTCTGTTTCCTGCTCCTGTGAACCTCAGGCCAGCCGGCCCTAGGCCAGCACGGTAGACAGTCTGCCTGATCGGAAGAAATGAGGGTGGCTTCCTCTCTATGTCCATGTACTCCCAAAGGTGGTAGAGAGAAGCACGGGGTTTTGTCTTCTCTAAAATCTCTCCAAATGGGTGGGTGTGGGGATGGAGGTCTTACCACGCAACGTCGTAAATGGTCCTGGAGTGGAAGCCTGACAAAGTGCAGATACATTTCCAGCTGGGGTCAGAGCCGCTGCATGCCACCCCTGCACAACAGACTTCTCTTGAGCCTCAGACATGTCTGTGTCCTGGGCACCTCAGGGGAGGAGCTCCTCAACTGCCCTCCCTCACCCCCACCTTCAATCATGAGGCCTCATTTTGTTCCTCTGTCCCCATCCATAGTGATCTGCCTTACATACTGTGGCTACACAGGGATTTTCACAACAGAATTGAGAAGGAAAGGTCCTGTTCTTTAAAAACTTTTTGCTGCAGACTATGTCTGACTAGTTAGCCTGCCTTTTAAGGCCACCAACCAACCCAACCAGCCACCCGACCCGCCTTATTACTCCCCAAATCCTTTACACCCTATGCTCCATCTAAAGGAATCATGGTTCCTGGCGTAAATCTAGGCTTTTTGCACCTTCAATGCCTTTGCTCATGCTGTTCTCTTTTCACCCAGAAGTCTCTTCTGTTAAATTCTTCTTGTGTTAAAACCCTAGACACACTTTCAAGTTCGGATGAAATGGCTCTTCTTCCACACAGCCTTCCCTGATTCTCCAGCACTCGCTGGGGAGCCCTCTCATGGCACATCTCCCTTTCTACTCCAATCTGCTGTGATTCATCTATGTGTCTTAGACCCTTAGTAGACTGCAAACCTCATGAGAGGAGTCTCCTTTAGCTCTCTGATTGGCCCCTCACCTTGCTCGTTGTCCGGTGGATACTGTCGCCAGATACGCACAGTACGGTCATCACTGCAAGATGCCAAGCGCTGGCCACTGGGGTCAAAGGCTAAGCTCCACACAGTGGATTCATGGCCTTCGAGGGTGGCACAGCACACCCAGTCATCCTCCTCCTCCCGGTAGAGCTTCACTGTGTCATCATAGCTTGCAGAGGCTAACAGCTGGGGGGGAGGGGGGCGAAACACAGCCCTTGTCTGCATGGCTCAAGATGTGCCAATAGTTCCAATACCTCTCCCAGCTAGGACAGTCCCAGCAATCTGTCTCTATAAAGGGATTAATAATGTCTTTTGGTGGGCGCCTGGGTGGCTCAGTTGGTTAAGCGACTGCCTTCGGCTCAGGTCATGATCCTGGAGTCCCAGGATCGAGTCCCGCATCAGGCTCCCTGCTCAGCAGGGGGTCTGCTTCTCCCTCTGACCCTCCCCCGTCTCATGCTCTCCCTCTCTATCTCATTCTCTCTCTCAAATAAATAAATAAAATTTAAAAAAAAAAAAAAATAATGTCTTTTGGTCACAGATAGAGATCCCCATAAAAGTCAGGCTGAGGCTGAAGAGCAGAGGAAGACTGGGTACAACCCTCCACACCAAAATTCCTTCCCACCAAGAAATTTCACCTCACTCTTACCTCCTGGCTTGGGTGCCAAACCACATGCTTGACATCCTGTGTATGAGAGTTGAGGACACTGACACATTCATACTCATCTTCTTCATCAACTGTGGGAAGGAAAAAGAAAGGAGCCCACGAGCTGACTATGTCAGGGACACAGAGGGGGATGTCTGTTCTCCGGCTCCCCACTGCATCTGGAAGGATCCAGACTCACCTTCCCAGACCCACACACTCTTATCTCGGCTGCAGGTGGCAAGGAGGTTGCCAGAAGGGGCCCAGGCCACTGACTTGACCTCATTTTCATGGCCCTCCAGAGTAGTTACACACTGTGAAAAGGGAAGAGGAACAAGAATTAAGCAACTAAGATCCCTGGCGTTCTTTTCATAGGTATAGCTGACCTAGCCCAGGTTGGCTCAAGTTCCTGAACCAGCCCTGGGGAGCAAAAAGGCAACAATCCTGCTCCCATCCAGCCTGGTTACCTCAAAGTCATCCTGGTTCTTTTTCCAAATGCAAGTGGTAGCATCGAAACTGGCAGAGGCCAGGTAATTGCCACAGGGAGACCACGCCACCTTCCGCACAGTGCGCTGGTGGCCTTCAGAAAGGACAGATTTGCAGATCCAGCTGTCACCTAAAAGCAAAGGACAGGCCAAGCTCTGGAGCTGGGTGCACAAGGTGCAGAAGCACTATCAATGCCGTTGGATAATGGGGATTAGCACCGGAGCCAAGCTGGAGCCAAGCTGGGCTTAATCGGTGTATTTATCAACATGCTTTCGGAAAGCTCTACTTCCTCCGCAGACATCCTTCTAAAACAAATCTGAGGAGTCACCTTCCTGATTTAAAACTGTCAATGGCTCCCAAATGCCCTCAGGATAAAATTTAAACTTCACATTGGGTCGCAAATTACTCTGCAGGCTACATTCCTACCACCCTTCTCTCCTTTTCCGGTCTCAGCAACTATCACAATTCCCTCAACAGTTCCAGCCTATTGACGTTTTTGCTTCCAATACTTGCCGAATCCTTCGCCCAAAAAGTCTTTCCCAGAGTGGATAACGTCTAACTTGAAGGTGGCTTCTCCCTCCTTCCCCCTGGCCTGTAATCTCATTCCCGGGCGGCTTGCCCCAAAGGCTGCGCACTCCCTTGAGCCCGGCACCCACGCTCCGCGCACGCTGAACCCTCGGCAGCAGGGGTCGTGCAGCGCGGCTGGGCCTGACCTTCCGTGCCCCAGATGCGGACTCTACGGTCACCACCGCACGACGCCAGCAGGGTTCCCGCGGGGTTCCAGGCCAAGAACCAGCAACGGGAGTCAGGGTGTGCCGGGACGCGACCCAGCAGCACCAGCGAGTCCTTCATGGCGGCCCAGAGCAGGGTGTGGAGGAGGTGGGCAGAGGCGGCAGCGCCGACCGCGAGTCCACCATGCAAACCCCGACGAAGCCCACTCTGGCCTCGGAAGGCCGTCGGATCCCGCCGCTTCCGCCCGAGGGCCCGGGTCTCCCTGGGAACTGAAGCGCCCGCGGCTGAGGCCGTGCTGCCCTCTGGGAGTTGTAGTCAGTTTACCCTCCCTGGCAGCAAGCACTGTGGGGCGGCCTCGGACTACCAGTCCCGTGAGGCCCTGCACAGGGAGCCGGCGGCGCGCCCAGGCTGTGACGCGCGAGGAGGACGGGGCGGGGTGCCGGAGGAGGCGGAGGCAGAGGTGGAGGAAGCCGGAAGTGGATAAGGCCCGGGTCGGTCCGGGCGTTGCGGGTTTAGGGCCTGGGATCGCTCTGCCCCAGGCAGCTGCGGAGCCCGTGACGGAACGGAGCGGCGCCATACCGGCCCTGAGGCCTGCTGACCGGTGAGGAACAGGGGTCGGTGTGGGGGAGGGTCCTTTCTAGCTACAGATCGCACCCCAGAACACTGTTCCCAGTCCCGGATTCCCGATCCCCGCGGCCCAGTCTGGTCCTGGACCCCTCCGCACTCTCTCGCCGAGACTCTGGAGCCGGGTGTCTCTCGCATTGGTAGCCGATACTGGCGCTCCCACTCCGGTCTGCCCAGATCCTGGCCGGCTCGCAGCCCTCTCCGGGTCCCTGTTCCGCACCTCCGCAGCGCCATTCCAGGGGACCCCGTCCCCGCCCCCCCCCCCCCCCCGCCCCGACTCCCTGCAGCCCTCCTGTCTGTGCTTGGCCCCAGGTCCCACCCCCTGTTCTCCGGTGTGGGCCCTGACAGCGCTGTGTCGGCCTCCCCTTCTGTGAACCCAGCGCCTTGCTCTCCTCCCCGGGACAGGCAGGCTCAGCGCGCCCTGCGGAGGTCCGCGGCGACCAGCAGCGACCTCGGAGCGACGGCGGGCGGCCCCGGGCATGTACGCCCCCGGAGGCGCAGGGCTGCCCGGCGGGCGCCGGCGGAGGAGCCCGGGAGGCAGCGCTCTGCCCAAGCAGCCGGAGCGTAGCCTGGCCTCGGCTCTGCCGGGTGCCCTGTCCATCACGGCGCTGTGCACTGCCCTCGCGGAGCCTGCCTGGCTGCACATCCACGGTGGCACCTGTTCCCGCCAGGAGTTGGGGGTCTCCGACGTGCTGGGCTACGTGCACCCGGACCTGCTGAAAGGTGAGGGCGCTGCGCGCCGGCCCTCCTCTTTCTGAGCGATAGAGCCTCCTTGGCTGAGAGCGGAATGTGGTGCGGGCTGGAGCAGAGATAGCCAGGGGCAGGCCCTTGGCTTGAAGGAAACAACCCCATTCCTGCCTGGTGTTCATGCCCACCAGGTGGCTCTGTTTGGGGTCTGGCCTCTCATTAATTCTGATGTTATTCAGCCAGGCACCTACTTCTCACGCCATGCTAATCTGGACTGCTGCTATTTTCGGATTCTGCCGGAGGAAGGGCGCTGTATATGGAGAACAGATAAGGGTGCTGCTAGGCATCACAATTAGCTGCCCCCTTCCAAGGAACCCATGGGATATAGGAAGGTTTCTTTAGGGCAGCCTGTTGAAGGGAGGAATAGGAGCTTTTCATGTGGCTAGATTTTATATTTTGGAGTTCTGCTATAATTGGATTTTTGCTAGAGAAAAAGGGAGTCTATGGCATTTTCGATAACCAGAAGCCAGTTTCATTGCCACTCAGTAAAACAATTGGAATTTGACTCTTGGAACCTTTATAAGTGGTCTTGACTGTGGTAAGGTTGCTTTGTTCGTCATCCTGCTTCCTAGCCAGGCAGGCAGAGCAAAGGAGAAAGGGACTGTTCTCTTTACTGGGCAGAGGGGGCCAGTATGGAGGTGGGAGTGGGAGTGCGGGGCTGTTCCAGGGAGCCCCATAGGTCATCCTGCCCAGCCCTGTCTCCAGTAATGAGAGGAAAGGCTGTGTGGTGTGAGGGCAGGACTGCATGTGCCTGGCTTCTACCCAAAAAATGGTCAGAGGACCCCAAGGAGCCTTTAGTAACAGCACAGTTTGTCACCCCCAAGGTCTTTTGAGCCATTTATGAAGGTCTTTATATTTTCTCCCTGGACCACCTCTGGGCTGTGATGCATTCCAAATGTTTACTGCCAAATGTATCAGAAGCATTAGGTATCTTCACATTGCCTCTTTTAAGGATTCAGGCACTGGGATTTGGGGAAAAGGTCAAAGTCCCTTCTGTGCTTTGGGTTATATACCACTTCTGCATGTCTGGTCTGAAAAACCCTAAGCTTGTAGCCTAATGTTGTCTTTCTCTAAGAGTTCTCTTGCTGTTTTGCATCTCTCTTTGAGTTTTTAAGGCTCTAGGATAGTTTTGTAGAGAACAGGATGGGAGTGTCTAGTTTATTTCCAGATTTCACCATGATGATGGCCTTTGCTGGTTTGGCTCATTAAGATCCAAGTTATACATGCGATGATGGAGGCCTTGTGATATGCAGCTTTTGTCTGCCTGTAGCTGGTAGCAGAAAGGCCATCAAGCTTGCGTGGAGTCTGGATGGTTTTCCCTCAGCACGTTGCCTTCTTTGGAGCATAGCTGCTGCCTTTCCACCACCCCATCCGGGTCTTTGCCCTGGATCCCCTGCTGTTACAGTGTTTCAAGAACGTGGTATCACCTACAAACCGGGAGAGAGTTTATGGTGCTTCTCCCTTTCAAATCATTCCTGGGGAGGCTCACAAAATTCGTGTGTTGGAGGGACAGGCACTCTGATCCCATGTTCTTATTTCGGAGGTCCAGGAAGCTGTGGCTCAGAGAAGCGAAATGATTTCTCCAGGGCCACAGAGCTGGGGGCATAGCTGAGGCTACCCACATCTGTTGACTGCAATGTAAAATGATGCTGTCTCATATGCTTTTAACCTTTGCTTTACTTCAGTGTCAGAGAGAATGATTTCATGAGTATTCCACTTTGGAGTGCATCCTTGTCAAAGGCATTTGAAAAATAAAAATAAATTCTTCATGCAGGTTCTCCTTTGTTTATGTATATATTTGCCCTTTTTAAGAACTTTTTTAAGCCAGATTTTGTTTTTTATAAAGCATGTTGCCTTAATCTTTACATTACATTTACTCATGTGTTTAGGGATCTTAACCCATGGATAGGCTTTTTTGTGTGTGTATTTTTAAAGATTTTATTTATTTGAGGCGGGGAGGGGCAGAGGGAGAGGGACAAGCAGACTTCACACTGACACGGTGCTCGGGCCCACGGCCTGAGGTCATGACCTGATCCAAAGCCAAGAGTCAGACGCTCAACTGACTAAGCCACCCAGGCACCCCAGTTCATGGGTAGTGTCAACCTGCTTTTCTGTGGCCATCTTCTTGGCTATTGCAAGCTGGGAACACACTGGTGTCCATTAATAAGAGAGGTGACAGACTATCACAAAACTATCACAAACTGTCATAGAAGAAGGCAAGGAATTAGGAGGTCTCCGATCGCTTCTCTTCTTCCTTTACTCTGTACCTGTTGGGTTTTTGCTACCCAGTGGGCCTTTAGACACAGGCTGTTCTGTGTGACTCTGTTGATCCTTAGGGCCTCACCCACGTCCTAACATGGAAGCCTGGGATATTCTCTATCTCGGGAGGGAGCAGAGCTTCGGGGGACAGATCTGATGGCAATAGATGCTACCAGAGGGAAAACAGACCTTATGAAGTCTCTGCAGGTGAAGGGGGTGGGCAGGGCTGGCAGGCCTTCCATCGTGGGCCAGGCATTGAGTGCCGGGCATTGAGTGCCAGGCATGGTGCTAATAAGCACACTCCATGTCTGGCTTTAGTTTCTCCTGAATATCTTTATTTGGTAGGTGCTGTCCCCACCTCCGCTTCACAAAGGTCACAGGCTCAGGGAGGTCAGGTACCACGGGCTTGGAGGCACAGCTGGTGTGCGGGGTGGGGACCCCACTCTTACCATCGCACCTTAGCGCACTCTAGGTTTCTTTTTCCTTCTGTCAGAGCTGTCCAAGGCTTAGTATTTCCCCATCCTAGTGGAGTTTTTCTCACAAACCCAGCCAAAGCTGTGCTTCTTAGCCCTCATTGCCTCAATATTCTGGCTCAAGTTGGTGAGCCTGAGACAAAGCCGCTCACCCTCCTGCCCGTCATACGCTGAGCCCCAGGAGGCTTTAGCAAATGCTGGCTCACAAGATTTGGTCCTGAATTCTTCCGCTCCCCAGGGGGTGCCTGCTTCTCACACAGCTCCTCACCTCAGGCCCAGGTCCAGAGATATGCTCAGACTGCTAGTGGCCCCAAGCAAGGGGTGGGGGGCAGATAATCGTTCCTTCTGAGCCCCAGTCCCTCTCCGTCAAGTGTGGCCAGCAAAGGGAAGCATCTTTGGAGAATGAGGAAGTTGGGGTTGTGAAGTCAATGAATCACAGTTGACAACAAGCCACTGGAAATGCAAGGCCCTTTGAGGAAGGGCCAGTGTGCCTGCTGGGTGGTGACTACTGCCGCTGACGCTTCAAACGCCTGCCCGGCCCGGCCTGTCCCCAGAGACAGCTCTCCTAGGGGCTGGTATCTGGGCTAATACCCAGCCAGGCACTAGAGGGCCCTGTTGGAGTCCTGTGTCAGAAACCTGTCTGGAAGCCAAAAAGTCACAGTGGGCTAGGCAGGTGGGATGGATGAGCGCTGAGAAGGATTTGGGCCATGGGGAAGGGTCTCTAACTCAAAGGGACTCCAGTGAGGAGCAAAGGGAGGGAAGATGAGACAGAAGAGGGGAACTGTCCAGAAGCCACTTTACTCTTCCTGCCTGCAGCCTGTTTGGGTCAGCAGGGGGTGAGAGCAGTGGGCCAGTAGACAGGAAGAGCCAGCCAGGGCCTTCAAAACAAATCCAGCCCAGTGACTCACCAGTGACCTTGGGCAAAGTCAGTTCCTTGGGATCCTATTACACAGCAGCTGCCTTCTTCCCTGGTGACTGGAGGGGACAGTCAGCAATAATTACCAAAATAAACAGCACAACTGGAGAATAGGATGTGTTCTCTGTCTTACCAGAGTGTAGTACACTGCACCACTTGTCTGCACTTAAAATTAGGACCGTGCCCTGTGTGCCATTTCTTTCCACAAATAAAATAATACATACGTAACACTTGGGGATTTTGTTT